TTTTTTTTAAAATAAAGGACACAAGAGTAAATTGCTATAATTTGATGAACCTTACCTATGCTCATGGAGGTAGTAACTCTAAATACCAATAGAGAGGGAAGGAGTCTTCACATCAAGTATCAATGCTATTCCCTCTGTACACAGGGTAGATAGGGACGGGCAACTTAGATATTGGCTACCTAAAATGAGGGGGCAATAGAGGGATGAAGTGACTGGCTTATAAGATTCCAAGAGGGAGTTTAGTTTAATAGTATGAGGGGGAAGAAAACAGAATAGTTTTCATCTTGGCTAGATGGATCTGGTGAAAAGAGATGGGGATAACATTCTTATGATTCAATAGTGAATAACTCTTTTCATGACTAATTGCGATTGTCACAGTTGTAAAGGTAGAAGTTTTGTAAGAAAAGCAGGGGAGTGGTTAATGTTACAGTCCAGAAACAGAGGACACTAGGACCATCAAGGGAGAAGAGCACACAGCACAGTGCTGGGCCTTATCCAGAGAAACAGTGACGCCAGTGGGGTCATGTAGAGGGGTAGGCTGAGTACTCTAGATTCATGGGAAGAGAAGGACTAAGAGCTGGTGGTCAGGAGGCAGACTTGCAGAATGTGCTCTTTGGAGATGTAAATTATTATATGTGCCTGAGTGTTGTTGTTGTTGTTTTAAAGCTAAAGTGAATAGAGGGAAATACTACTAACTGATGGCATATGGAGGGGATTATAATCATTGTAATAAAACAAGGTGTAAGATTTGTTGAATGTAAAACTGATGATCCGCCCTGATCTGCCCTGTAAACTTTCACTCAGTCCACAATAAAAACCTTAAAAAAAAAAAAAGATAATGGAATTTTTCCACAAATATTTTGAAATCTCCTTGTACGTTTTTCTAACAAATGTATTAGGCTTGCTGTATTTACTACTCATCGTTCATAGATGTGGTTGAGGAGGCACAGGTTAAGAAACTTGCCCAAAGTCTCATAGTTGGATGTGTATTCTCCCTAGTCCCTACTCTTCAGCGCTTAGGTCCCTGGCTAGGCATCTGGACCGTGCAGAGAGCTGCCCCAATGGGTTTCCAAGGCTGTATTTATTTATTTATTTATTTTTAAGGCAAACACACAGCCACATCTTTCTCTCACAGTGGCGGGGCGACTGTAGTGTTCGACCGCAGTCCTTCGCTTCCGTGTATCCGGCCAGCGCTTAATCGCTGCATGTCACTGGGAGAGCTACTGGGACCAATTGGAAAGCAGGCTTATACTTGAGAAGAGCTGAACCGCCAGATCTCCCCAAATTCCAGAAAGTCACAGAACACGTATCACTGTCCTTTGGCAACCTGTGTGGGATGGAGCCGACAGCATGCTCCGGAGAAGCTCGGACGCAAAGCCGGAGGTTCTTCTTCTGGGAAGCCGGCTCCCGCGGTCCGCAGAGCCTGGAGCTGCCTGGCGGTGTTAAGCTGTGGCAGGCGGCTTCCGGCGAGCGCCACTCGCTGCTGCTGGTGAGCAACAGTACCGTCCTCTCCTGCGGGGACAACGCCAAGGGACAACTGGGCCGGAGGGGCATCCCCCGGCTGGAGCGTCCAGGTGAGCTCGGATCCAGATGCGCGAAGCCGGGGGCCGAGGGGCAGGGCGAGCGGCGAGCAGGTGGAGTGTTGGGAACCTACGGAGTGACCCTATGTGACAAAGTAGACATACTCCAAAGGATTTTCTAGGCTGTAACTAGCTCTGTAGGAGCTAGTTGAGCACTGGACTGATAATCACATGTTCGGTGGTTTGAGCTACTTAGCGGGGAAAAAGGGAAGTTTACTTCTCTCGTAAAGATTCACAGCCTCGGAAACCCTCTACAGGGTCGGTATGAGTCAGAACGGACTCCTCAGCACTTCACAATAAACAACAATCTTTACAGGAACGGAGCTAGGCTTTTCTCGGGGAGAGAGGGCTGGTGGGTTTAACTGCTGCCTCAGCGCTCATTGGCCACACCTTCACCGAAAACGGTACTCGCTCTGCGTAAGTTTCGATTTTTTCAGATCCGCCTCGATTTGTTTCGGTTTCCATCCGTCTTTAAAGCGAAACTGAGAACCGAAACTAACCTGGACCGTGCTCCGGTTGACAGAGATGACTATCCCACTTTGGGCCCCCTTCTCACCTGTATGGATCTATCTGAAAGAGTTAGCTTGACCCTCCACATGTGTTGTGGGTTACACACCCTCGGGGCACCAATTTTATTAAAAATGAAAAAATTTATGTACTACAGTATTGTTACTATTACTGATTATTGTAGGAACATGAGGAAAGAATCATTTATAATTCTAACATCCAAAGCCAACTCCTAATACTATTTTGTTCCATTTCCTTTTTGTATTTTTTTCATATACATATTTAATCTTTATAAAAATCACTATCAGTTTTGGAGAGGCAGTGTTTATACAACTCTATACATTACTTTTTCACAGCACATATCACGAACATGAAATGCAGAAAAACTAAACTTGTGACTCTTGAAATGATTAGAACTCACAGTGACCCCACAGGGTTTCCAAGGAGGCATGTGGTTAAGCACTCCACTGCTAACCAAAAGGCAGTTTGAACTCACCCAGAGACTCTGGAGGTGGAAAAACCTGGTGATCTGTTCCTATTAAGATTACAGTTTAGAAGACCCTATCAGACTGCTCTACTTTGTCATGTGGGAGAATTGATGATTAAGTAAATTCAGCATTGGGTTACTCAAAGCAAGGATGATGGTTTAAATCTACTAGAAAATGAGGGTGTTTGTTTCTATAAAGATTTAGGCTCAGACACCCAAAGGAACAGGTCTACCCTGACTTGTAGTGCCACTGTGAGGTTGTTTGTTCTAATGACTTGAAATCTACTCCACAACACACAACAATATCATAAAGAATTACTAGTTTAATCAAGTGTCATAGTCTCTAGACGTTCACTCCTCCCCAAGCCCACCCTTTTAAATAGTAGGTATATTCCCAGAAGGAGTCCTGATGTGTCGCTGAAGCATAAGCACTCAACCTCAAGGTCAGTTTGAACCTCAAGATTGGCGGTTCAAAGTCACCAGCCACTCCTCTGAAATCCCATACAGGGTGGCTATGAGTCCGAGCTGACTCAATGGCACTTAACAACAACAACAAATTCCCAGAAAGATCTTTAGCATGGACTTTATTTAAAAGTTCATTGAAGGAGACAAGCAATCTGATGACTCTTTTTTGAAAGAAAACCAACCAACCAACCAACCAACCAACCCAATGCAGTTAAGTCAATTCTGCCTCACAGTGACCCCACGCTCCAATGGCTGTTATTTTAATGAAAGCAGACCTCTAGACCTTTCTTTCAAGGTTACACTGGGTGGGTTTGAGCTTTCTAATCTTCAGATTAGTAGTTTAGTAGTTCAGTGCAAACTATTGTGCCACCTAAGAGATTTTAAAAGATAAAACAAACGGCCTTGAATTTAGTAATTTAATAATATTGCAGGGGGGAGTTGTTAATGGTTGTTTTTTTTTTTTTTTTTTTCCCCTCAAAGAACCTATTCAGGCATTGGAAACTCTGAAAGTCAATTTCGTGAGCTGTGGAAAGGAGCACTCCCTGGTAGTTTGTCACAAAGGAAGGGTCTTTGCATGGGGAGCCGGTTCTGAAGGGCAGCTGGGGATTGGAGAATTTAAGACAATATGTTTTATACCTAAGTAAGTACTTCGATTAATGCAATATTTTTTAGACCATGTGCCAGGCACCATGCAAGATGCCAGTATACAAAATGACTATGACTACCAGTTCCTTCTCAAACGGATTACCATCCAGTGAGGGAAGAAGCAAGAAAAATCCTTTTAACACCAGTTATTTAATTAGGAGTCCTGTGGAAAAATAAAGGCCAAGTGAAATGAAAACATGTGACCCTTTGGTCTTCATCTTACCTATTGGAATATACCCTTAGGCCTGTCGTAAGTTATTGGTTTTGAATAGGTTAATATTGTCACGAACCGAACAGTGATATCATAAGCAGTTAACTCTGAGTTGTGTGTTCATACATTACATGCTTAAGTGATTTTTTAAACTGTGGTTTTTAATGTTAGGAAGCTGCTTCTTGTTTCCTCTTCTGGTCATTAAATCATAAGAGAGATGGCTGTGGAATAAGCACTGAACTTGGAATAAAAAGTTGTACAAGTTTGTGCTTGCTTGACAGCTGCTTCTACAACTTTGACCTCTCTGAGTTCACTTAGGTTGAATCATACGTAATTACTGATAATTGTCTGGTTTTGATTTAAAAAAATATATATATATCAATTTTGTATTATTTAATCTAATGATTTCTTTATCTCACAGGGCTTAAATTAGGTTACATAGTAACAATATTCTATAAATTCCAAGCTATATGTGTAGGAAGAAAATACTTTTCTTTTCGGTTGTTAAGTATGGAATAACAATTAATGCATTGTATAATGCATCAGCATTCCATTTTTGCATTATATGTTTTTTGGGTTTGGCCCTGTACCTTGTTTTGGATTTGGTCCTGTTGATGTTATGTTTAGAACAGTTTGAGGACTTTGGAATAAAGTACTACAGAAACACAAGAAAATAAAATGGTTTCCTTAGAGCGTATATATTACTTGGGATGGTTTAAAATACCTTAGTCTACTTGGTAACTCACCTTTAAGAGGATTAATAGATTATGTCTCATTGTAGGAAAATAAACGCTTTGGCTGGTATAAAAATAATACAAGTTTCCTGTGGATATTACCACTCCCTGGCATTATCACAAGGTAAACATGAAAGAAGTTTTGGATATAACTTTTTTGTTTGGTAACTAAAGTCAATAGTTTATTCAGATTTCTTATTTTGTTTGTTTTGGTGAAAGTACATACAGTAAAAAATACATATATCTTTTCAACAATTTCTGCATGTACAATTCAGTGACAATTTGATTGTATTCTTAAAGTCATACTACCATTCTTGCTATCCTTTTCCCAAAACTTCTATCACCATTATCTTAGACTCACTGCCCCCTAAACTTCCCAGCCAACCTTTCATGTTGCTAATGAGCACAATACTCAGAACAGATAACCTCCACTAGTTAAGATAAGCTGATTTTCGGTTCAAAGAAGACTTTAAGGAGAGTTTGGGTTTAAGATTTAAAGTTTAAAGATGAACTCAGGGTAGTTGCTTCAGGGGTTCATTCAGCCTCTATGGCTCCAGAAAATCTGGATTCCATTGAAAATTCAAAATTCTGTTCTGCAAATAAATAAATTTTTGGATATAAATGATAACTCTTGGTAGTTAATGCTTTGGGAGTCATTTTAATACATTTAGAAGTTTTTAACTTCAGATTTGGTAAAATGTGTTGTTCTTCATATTTCTTTAATTAAAAAAAATTATGTGCTGCATAATCCCTAATTCATATTTCATTACCATAAAGAGCCCTCTCCGTTCACATGACTTAACTGGCAGGCTCCCTGAGAACTCAAGGGTACCTTATTTCCAGCCCTTTTCCCTTTATTTTGAATGGTTTACTTACACTGGAATGCCCAAATAGACAAAGGACTATTTGTCTGTTTGACTTAGATCAAAGAGAGAAAAGTCAAGATGTCAAAATCATGACTCAACATTTTTTTCTACTACCCTCTCTAATCCTGTGCCCATCTACAATAACAGATTTTCAAATGGAGAGACAAGTAGCATTTTTATGTTGTTCAGGTAATGTTTTTTGCATCACTGCACAATGGTGCCTCAGTTCATAACAACACAGCATTCAATCATTGCTTCTGTGTGTCAGCTACTGTGATGAATACTTTACATGTGTTCTCTTGTACAATTGCCAAATAGACACAGGAGTCGAATATTGTTCATAATCTCATTTCAGAAATGAGGAAATTTAGTTTCCGAGATTTTAAATAATTTGCCTAAGATTACATATTGAGAAACAGAGGAGATAGGAATTGAATATAAACTTGTTTACATCTCAATTCTAAGTTCTTTGCCACGGCCTCAAGCTTACTATGAGAAAAAAATGTCTCTCATGACCGTCGTATGATTCCTTCTACCATTTCCAACTATTTGATCTTGCGCAAGTCACTTAACCTTCTTAAGTATCAATTTTCTCATCTATAGGAATATCGATGCCTAATGTCTGGGTCATTTAGAAATTTAATGAGTGAAGGCAAGATATTCTTTGTATTTTTTGCTGTTAAGCGTCGTCAAGTCGGTTCCTACTCATAGCAACCCTGCATAGGGTTTCCAAGGAGTGGCTGGTGAGTTTGAACTGCCGACCTTGTGGCTCAAGCCAACCTTATGGTCCAGTGCTTATCTTCCAGTGCCACACCAGGACTCCATAAAGCATAAAGCAAGGGCACAATAAACATTAGTCTTTTCCCCTTCCTCACTTTCCTTTTCTAAAATTATCAAAATTATTTTCTTGGATATTAAATTGTTTTTACATTGTTCTGGACCATAAAAGCTGTGTAGAGTCCAGGCACCTGATACATTTGCTATTGTGAACTGTGAGATTTTCAGATCTTCATGGAAGTTTGTCATTTTGTCATGTGTCTTAAAAAATTCTTTCCATCAGTAGAAATAACTTTAGAAGAATCCTAGAGAAGCATTAATAAGAACTTATAAATAGGAAATGTGTTGGCATTCTCTGGCTATATTTTTATAACAGTATGATTTTTAAAATCTATTGTAAATTGTCTATTTCTAGTGAAATTCACCATAAAATCTTTTTTTTCCCCCTCACTAAGTCATTCCACAAATAGTTACTGAATGCCTATAATGTGCAAGGCAAAGAGGATATGTTGTTGTTGTCAGGTGCCATTGAGTCGAAACCGACTCATAGCGACCCCATGCACAACAGAACGAAACAATGTCCGATCCTGGGCCAACCTCACTACCACCGCCATACTTGACGCCATCAATGATGCCACGTGGCCGATCCATCTCGTTGGGGGCCTTCCTCTTATTCTCTGACCCTCTATCTTACCCAGCATGACATCCTTCTCCAGCGACTGTTCCCTCCAGACAATATGTCCAAAGTATGAGAGACGAAGTTTAGTCATCTTGGCCTCCAAGGAGCACTCTGGCTGCACTTCTTCCAAAACAGATCTATTGGTTCATTTGGCAGTTCATGGCACTTTTAGTATTCTCCTCCAACACCACAACTCAAAGGCATCAATTCTTCTATGATCTTCCTTATTCACTGTCCAGCTTTCAATCAATATGAGGTTATTGAAAATACCATGGCTTGGGTCAGGC